CTTCAGGGTGGATATAGCTCGCTAGCAGCCTCGCACCGAGGACCTATCCACGTCATCATTTACCCAGAATGCTTTGTGTGGAAATAAAATGGCTCTGTCCATGTTAAAATATATTTTTAAACATTTACAAAACTAAACAGCCTGCAGTATTTTTACAGTCTTTATTTTACAGTTAACATATATGTTTCTTAAATAAAGTTTAATGTTACAACTAATCGCGGATCATTTTAACAGCTAAAAAATGGATTTTACATGATGTCCCCTTTCAAGCAGAAACTCAAGTAAAATCTTTGCTGTGGCGGCCATCTTGAATTGGGGTTTGATGCATTTGAGCATCCGGTGATAACATTTTGAGACGTTGGAGGTAAAAATCAGGAAAGACCATTTTTTCGTACCCTTTTTTCCTCCAACTCGAGCTTCATCCTCTCTTGTTCATCGGCGTCCAGGACCTGGTTGCCATCGCGGTCGAACTGTGAGAAGGCGGCAGAGATTTCATGATCGGCGTGTCCCATCCTGCGAATTCATCATCCTGGTGAGCATTGGGTTGGAATAAAATCATTGTGCGTTTGAAGTGTCTCTTACTCTATRAGAGTTTCTCTGAAGTCCTTGAACTCGATTTCTCCGGATCCGGACTGAAGAGCCTTCTGAACGTCTGATATTTTTTCTTTTTTAAGCTTCAGCCTTGCAAACGTCTTCATGTAGCTCTGATATGGGAGATAAACCTAACTTTAATACAGTATTATTATTAAACATACCTGTTTTTACATGAATTGACGTTTACCTGCTTGATGATGTCGGTAATCTGCAGCTCGTCTTTTTGGGACGACAGTTCCTCCTTGACCTCCGAATACGTGTCATTTATAATCGCCAGAAACATGTTCTGATTTAAAAAGGAGACGTCACATGACTGCTCAGATTTTGCACTAAAACCCAGCGTCTTTTGAGAGACAACTTACCAGCAGAACAAAGAAAACAAAGAACACGTAAGTGACGAAGTAGATGGGCCCGAGGATTCGGTTCGCGTTGTCGATGGCGTCAAAATCAAAGTCTCCGAGGATGATACGGAACTGGGTAAAACTCAAGGAACAAAACAAAGGAGTTAAATGGCGCTCAGCCCGGTCAGATACTCGATCGTTCGGTTTTAAACACACCCTTACATGCATTTTACGAAGGTGCTGAAAGTTTCCACCTGCATCCCAAAGAGTAAATATCCAAGCTGAGCGTAGGCAAAGAAAACGATGAAGAACATGATGGCGAATCCCAAGATGTCTTTGGCGCATCGTCCCAGCGTGGATGACAGCTGCGTCATAGTTTTRTTAAAGCTGATGTACTTAAAAATCTGCAAAGAAAGGAAGGAAGTGAACTTTACTTTGGGAGTTTATTGGTTTGTTTACAGAACAAACAGGGTCGACAGCTAATGCTAAAGTTTTTAATCAAAGATTTTGTGCAGTCTGTTAGCGCTCACAGCGTGTCTAACTCAACAATATTTAACTCAGCACTTAAATATTTCATGTATAAGCATTTATTTATATAAATATTGTAATAGATTTAAAGTAGTAATATTTTAGAATCAACTACAACTCAGAGGTTCTTGTGTTCAGATTTGACTCATAGCCCATCCTCGATACAAAAACATCTACTCTATACTGGAATTGTATGACTTGGAGATAATTATGGATGTGATTTTAGACACATTAAGGTCCCAGCACCCCTGCGTTAATTGTGTTATTTCATGAAACATGAAGTGTGCAACTTTTTGTATTGTTTTTGTGTATATAAACTACATTATCATCTACATACAGTGTTACAATTAGAGCATTCAAATGGAAGATGCATAAAGACAATATATCAAATAAATGATAATGTTCTGAAGATATATCCTTGTGGGACGCCTTTTACAACTTCATAGCAGATAATTGATATCTAGTGCCTTATTTTTAATTAGGCACTAGATATGAATAAACTCTTGTCAGGGAAATGTGTTTGGATGAAAGACGTGAATATTTTACCTTGATCCAGGCAAAGAACAAGTTCACTGCATTCATGTTGTTATACTGGGTTTGCCAAAATGCCAGAAACTCAAAGTCAGCATAGATATCAGGCTGTTCTAAAAGTTTTCCAAGCAAGTTGTCCACTTTGACCGTTCGGAAAATATTAAAGATGATAGCAACAATTGCTAGCTGGGGGGAGAAAGAAAATAAATATTACCTTTTCAATGAAAATCGAACAAACAGTTGGAATTTTATTCTCTTACCAATATTACTAAAATATCCAGTATATTCCAAATGCTTTTAAAATAGGAAAACTTGTGTATCCTCAGCTCTAAAATCTCCTCCACAACATAGTAGAAGATGAAAACACAGAAGACCAGTTCGCAGCCGAGGACAAAGTAATCCCAGGCGGCAATGTAGCGAATCAGTTTCACCGTTCTGATCTGGTAGGAAGAGATCGCTCCCCCAGTTGCCGGAAATTCAACCACCAACCTAAGAAATGCAAATCACACTTGGGTCACTAATGCCTCATTGRGCTGAGACTGGTGGAGACTAGTTGGTGACTCAAAATTTCATAACAGTGCCCTGCCATGTTTTGTGCAACGTGGGACAAAACTGAAAAGCTTCTGACATCGGTTCAAGACAACTGCAACAACACTTAGTATAGAGAGCTGTTTCATTCAAATTGAAATAAATAAATAAATAAATACTATAATTAAAAAGTATTAATAAATAATCCATTAAATAGATAGTCCTGTGAAAAAACAAAATCAAAAAATTATAATACATTTTAGCATGTCTTTATAGTATTTTATTTATTTTTCATAAAAAAATGTTACCTTATCTATTTATTTATTTATTTATT